CTATTATCTATCTATCTATCTATCTATCTATCTATCTGTCTGTCTGTCTGTCTGTCTGTCTATCTATCTATCTATCTATCTATCTATCTATCTATATGTCTGTCTATCTATCTATCTATCTATCTATCTATCTATCTATCTATATGTCTGTCTATCTATCTATGTATCTATCTATCTATCTGTTTCCAATATCTATCTATCTGTCTATCTATCTATCTATCTATCTATCTATCTATATATATATACGCATTAATGTGAGTATTAATGCCGTGGAGCTCTGTTATACACTCAGACACTTTACTGGGAGTATTATTGCTGTGGAGCTCTGTTATACACTCAGACACATTACTGGGAGTATTATTGCTGTGGAGCTCTGTTATACACTCACACATTACTGGGAGTATTATGCTGTGGAGCTCTGTTATACACTCAGACACATTACTGGGAGTATTATTGCTGTGGAGCTCTGTTATACACTCAGACACATTACTGGGAGTATTATTGCTGTGGAGCTCTGTTATACACTCAGACACATTACTGGGAGTATTATTGCTGTGGAGCTCTGTTATACACTCAGACACATTACTGGGAGTATTATTGCTGTGGAGCTCTGTTATACACTCAGACACATTACTGGGAGTATTATCGCTGTGGAGCTCTGTTATACACTCAGACACATTACTGGGAGTATTATTACTGTGGAGCTCTGTTATACACTCAGACACATTACTAGGAGTATTATTGCTGTGGAGCTCTGTTATACACTCAGATACATTACTGGGAGTGTTATTGCTGTGGAGCTCTGTTATACACTCAGATACATTACTGGGAGGATTATTGCTGTGGAGCTCTGTTATACACTCAGACACATTACTGGGAGTATTATTGCTGTGGAGCTCTGTTATACACTCAGACACATTACTGGGAGTATTATTGCTGTGGAGCTCTGTTATACACTCAGACACACCAATTATATGTAGCTCCTAGAGGGACAGAGGGATTCCCAGAGAGGGACTGTCCCTCCTAAACAGGGACACTTGGTTGGTATGGCTTGTATAATATTGCTCGCCCAGCTAGCACTCAGTAAGTTAAGCTGAGGATCGCGGGTTTTTGCTGCGATACGATCTTGCTATATAATGAGGGTATAATAGTGACAGTCATCCCACGGCGAGCTGAACGTGTTGCTTTTGGCCGAGTCCCTAACACTGAGGCGAGATTTGTAACAGAGTGCACTTTGTGAACTAAACATCACTCGTTCTCATTTTAGTCATTTTTTTCAAAATTATTCCGCTTGCCAGGTTTAAAGCCACTCAATGGGAGGCTTCTTGGCCAGACGAGTCCAGCTTTGCGGGCGAAGCATTTGTTCAGAAGTTACCAGAAAAGGAAAATGAAGGATTCTTCCAGGAGTTGTTATAGTTCAAAGCGTGGCACACCGAGAAGCCGCGAGGCTGGCACTGTACAGGGGAAAAAGTGAATGTCACTGGCAGAGACGGACAAAAACTAACAATATAAAGTCTTTGTAAAAAGCTGCCATTCTTTCTAAGTATAATATAATAACGCTATTCAAAGCCAGGGCATCACATGCTATTATTGTAACTGAGTCACATTTCCTGTTGGCTGTGATTAAGAAATCTGGCATTCTGGCGCACTGGGTGTGGCCAGTACATCTGCCATAATACAACAACCCATAAATAGAGGGAGCAGTCTAAGCCAATCACTGTCTTCAGCTTGTACTTACCTGTCCTTGATTGGCCAATCAGAGTGCAGGCAGTGTCTGAGCACGCGCACTAAATCCCAAATGGAGTTTAATTGTGAGAGCAAAAGCAGCCACAGGCAGGAAATGGGCGATCTATGACGGACACTTTGTTTCTGCTTCTTATTAGCTTGGTTCCAAACCCAACCAGGAGTGGGAAAGCTAATTCTCCCTAACAATGAGCAATAATCTCATCCCGCTGCTGAGGTCACTTACCTTGCTATGAGTCTGAGTTTTAGGTAGGTCTAAATCAGTCTTTCTAAAGGGAAGATAGCGATACAATTTAAGTGCACCCTCAAAACATCAACCATAACTACTGTAAATGGCTTAAATGAAAACTCCCATCAGGCCAGAAAGAACTTAATATAAATATTGAAAATCTTTTATATTTTGGGTATTGGATACTGCAGAATTTTTTAAATGTGAAATAAATACTCTGCTTTCAATAGGTTGTTTTGTGGACCAATCCCAGGAGACGCTTGTTTTCTTTTTTTATCTCAACAACGCATTTTGTTTTGTGATAACTAAATTATTGTCCTGGTGGCTGCGGTTCCATCAGTCGTATTTACTAAACTGAGAATTATAAAGGATTGCAAACTTTACCAGTGGAATTAGACGAATTCTCCAGCCCAGGTATTTCCCCGAATCAGTTGTTATAGTTTAATCATAATGGCAGATGTGATATTATTTTAACAGATCATGTCGCAGTATAAAGTGAGTTTGATCAGACAGATTTCTGCAATTATCTCTCTCGTGGGTTATCACGATCCGTCTCTCTGTAAAAGTTTCTATTCCATACTTCCTCCTGAAACTTTCTCAGCAATAATACGGATGATATATCCTCTCCGAACAGTGACAGCAATAAACACAGGCTTCGCTCATATCTCAAAGAAAAACAAGCAGAAACAGAAAAAAATAAGTGCAGAAAAACTCTTTTCCATAATGATTCTTAGCCTGGTATTTATTTTGCTTACGTTCACTTGGGATGGAAACACGTAAATAGCAGGAGGTATTAAGATAGACTCGGAGTCAAGATGCGGGTGATCACAGTTACCAGACAGCGGCCCTGTCTTCAGAAAGCTGGTCTTTGTGGATACTTCTGTCCCGTGTTGGAGCCCTCCCAACCCTTCCAGAAGCCATTAACACATTCCACTGTGTATTGTCCATATGGGTAACGCTGTGGGACTCCCACTGACTAACAGAGAGCTGGCAAGGGGCTAATTATTTTATTTAGCCTTTATCCATTTACCTAAATACACTTCAGACAATCTTCATGGAGATTTATTGATTTTAGTTATGCACTCCGATGAAGGCTTTTGACATCTCATGGACTCTTACTGATACTGATCAATGACTTCCATTAGAATTACATTTTTTTTATAAATCCAACTGGTCTCAAGCTTGGAGTTTGGCTTTGCTGACACATGCTGTATGGGTAATTAATTTTGCAAAGCAATCAGGCAAGTAAAGTGTAGGGGAGCAGTATCATTTTCAAACTGGGAACACCAGTGGAGACGTTTATGGTGGAGGACTTCACGCTGAAGGGGTTTATGTTGGAGAGGATTGTGCTGGAGAGTTTTGTGATGGAGGAGTTTGTGGTGGAGGGGCTTATGGAGGAGGCTCATTATGGTGGGAATCGTTATGTAGAGGTTTGTGGTGGAAGGGTTCATGGTGGAAAGGACTGAATCCTTCCACCAAAAATCTGATGAAGGAGTTTGAGGTGGAGGGGTTAATAGTGGGGAACTGATGGTGGCTGGAGCTCATGCTGTAGGGGTTTGTGATGGAAGAGTGCATTGTGGACAGGTTTAATGGTGGAGCAGTTCATAGTGGAGGGGTTCTGGGTTTGTGCTACAGGTGGGAGGAGTTCATGGTGGGTGGGGCACATGGTGTAGGGCAGGGCCGTCTATAATATGATTAGGACCCTGGGCAATGCATTTTCTTGGGCCCCGTGGGCCCTGTCCCTGCCACTGCCTCACCCCCCAATTACGTCCAACCCGCAATCACACTGACAGACGTACTGGCACATACACACACAGACAGACATTATAGAGACATACTGACACACAGATACATACTGACACATACACAGATATACTAAAACACACAGACACATACACTGACAGACACATTGACACACACACACAGGCATACTGACATATACACACACACACACACACACAGGCATACTGACATATACACAGACAGACGTAATGGCTGATACAGACAGACATTAAACATTCACAGATATATACTGACACACACATACACTGACATACAAATATATCCTGGCAGACATACTGACACACACACAGATATACATACATACACACACAGACACATACACTGACAGACATACTGACTGACACACACATACACACACAGACATACTTACTTACATACACACACAGACATACTGACACACAAAGACATGCTGACACACACACAGACATACTGACATACACACAGACAGACTGGCACATACACACAGACAGACATTAAAACATTCACAGATACATACTGACACACACATACACTGACATACAAATATATCCTGGCAGACATACTGACACACACGTACACACACACACACACACACAGAGACATACCTACATACACACACACAGACATACTGGCATACACACAGACATACTGACACACACACACTGACATACACACACAGACATACTGGCATACACACAGGCATACTGACACACACACATACACACACAGACATACTGGCATACACACACCGACATACTGGTATACACACAAACATACTGACACACACACACACACACACACACACTGACATACTGGCATACACACAGACATACTGGCATACACACAGACATACTGACACACACACACACACACACAGACATACTGGCATACACACAGACATACTGGCATACACACACAGACATACTGACTGTTACGGTACCTCCCGTAATGAAATGTACAAACCGCCGTTTAGCGAGTATTCCCCGTTCGCAATAATGTGGTCGGGTAGCGGGTATAATAAAACCATGCGAACCACCAGCCAGGGAACACTCCAAACTCCCGAACGGTACCTGTATGGCTAATTCCCTTCAAGAGCTGCAAATCCACGAACGGCAATTAGTAACCGAACGACAATATCTCCCAAGCGGCAAATAATCCAAATAAGCAGTCTCTCGCCGCTGGTATCCAAATCCCCCCAATAACGAGACCAAGCTCCGCTTTGAGGGTAAAACACGAACTGATTTACGGTCCCTTACCCACTCCCTGACCTCTGCTGGCAATTTATCGAAACAATGTTCCAAAAGAAACATCTGCAGCACCTCTTCTCCGGACACAGCCTGGCACCCCGCCATCCAGTGGGCGGCTGTGCGATGCACCTTACATGCCCATTCCACGTATGAGTCCCCAGAGGTCTTGACAGTGTCTCGGAACCTCCTCCGGTACGCCTCAGGTGTAACTGCATACCGGGAGAGTAAAGCTTCCCTGACGGCCACATAGTCCCCAATCTCCTCATCAGGAATGGCCCGAAAAGCCTCGCTGGCCCGGCCTGATAACTTGCCGGACAATATAGTAACCCACTCTTCCAGGGGTACCTTGTGTAGGGCACATTGCCGCTCGAAATCAGCAAGGTACCCATCAATCTCTCCTTCTGTTTCACTGAAGGCTTTAAACGCAGTAAACGGTACCTTTTTCCTATCTCCCGGGTTTGCTGTGACTGGGGCTGCTGCAGCACCGCTTTGGCGAAGCAGGTTGGCCTCCACAGCTGCCATGACCCGGTCAATGGTCTCTGTAGTCGGGTTGGGACCATAATGCCTGATTCTTACCGCCCGGTCAAAGCTTGCCTCCTCGGGGGTTCTGTCAGCTGCGCTGGGTCCATTGGTTCCCTCTGCCGCTGGTACTCCATCCATTTCCAGCAATAACGCAATAATATCCCTCTTCCTGAGGTTACTGGCTTGTCCCCCTCTTTGCTCCAATAAATCCTTTAGGGTAGCCCTCCTCAGGTTTTGGTATTGTAATTCCATTTAGTCCTGGTTGTAGTGGTCTCTTTGGGCGTTGAGGATCATCCCGTCGCTTGCCACCAGTTGTTACGGTACCTCCCGTAATGAAATGTACAAACCGCCGTTTAGCGAGTATTCCCCGTTCGCAATAATGTGGTCGGGTAGCGGGTATAATAAAACCATGCGAACCACCAGCCAGGGAACACTCCAAACTCCCGAACGGTACCTGTACGGCTAATTCCCTTCACGAGCTGCAAATCCACGAATGGCAATTAGTAACCGAACGACAATATCTCCCAAGCTGCAAATAATCCAAATAAGCAGTCTCTCGCCGCTGGTATCCAAATCCCCCCAATAACGAGACCAAGCTCCGCTTTGAGGGTAAAACACGAACTGATTTACTGTGGGCTACCTGCCCGGTATTTATGCAGGTCTCCCACTTGGTGGACACTCCCCTAGGGGACCAAATGGGAGACTGAAATCACAGAGGGACATGGGGACATTTTGGACATACATCCCCACAATATTCCCAGCATGCATCACAGTTCCCTCCCCTCTGCTCGAGGGATAATTGGGAAGTAACTCAATTATCTCCCCGAGCAGAGGCAATCGCCATTTTAAACACAAGTCACAAAAACACATGAAAATCCATAACTTCATAACTGCCGAACATATTACATTCGTATTGCATATCCCCAGATAGCCTGGATCTGAGGGCACATTATTGGAGAATAGCGCTCAGATCCCATTCGCACAGTTCAATCGCCATGGAGTCAAAGTCTCTTTCAGTTCTTCGGTATGCGATTGACTCCATGGGACGGCTATCTGGGTTAAGTCCATTCGTGTGGTTGAATCTCCCGAACGGCTGGCATTCGTATACTTTTGTCGATTGAGAAGGGGAGGTCGACGGCTTCAGCGGTGTTCGGCTGAAAAAGTGTCCGTTTTCCGATCCATGAAATAATCGTCGAACACCGCTGGTCGTTCGCATGGACAAAATGGCCGCCGCCTCGTGGTCGACATACGAACGACGACCACCCGGCATTCGGTTTTAATTGAGAAGTGTCTGTGGTTAACCGCAACGTTCTAATTGGGATCAATAGGTTAACCAGCAGCACACTTCTCTTCTGGGTGGCCGTCCGTTCGGTAGTTCCGTTCGACAAAAACCGACATTCCCTTGAATAAAGCAGACGAATGGGGAAATTCATGTAACCGGCAAAACAGGCGAACAAAGCATTTGTAATCCAGACAGATGGGTCTGTCACACTGACACACACACACACACACACTGACACACACACACAGACATACTGGCATACACACACAGACATACTGACACACACACACACACACACTGACACACACACACAGACATACTGGCATACACACAGACATACACACACAGACCTACTGACATACATTTTTCCACCCTCCAGGTTCTTACCTTTTCCTGGAGGGTGGTTTCCCTGGTCCAGTGGCAGGCTGAGGCAGATGGGAGTTCTCCTCTGGAACTCCCCTCCTCCCTGCCTTCCTCCTCCTGCGCGGCTATCTCCGGTGGGAGGAAGTGACGTCACTTCCTCCCAGCCGGCAGCAGAACCGGAAGAGGGGCCCCTGCTGACACATGCTCCCCGGGTGGGCCACCCGGGGAGCCTCCTCAGTGTGGGCCACCCGGGGAGCCTCCTCAGTGTGCGGGAGCCGCACCGCAGGGGCTGCGCAAATCGCGGGACCCCCAGAGCAGCTGCTCTGGGCCCCCAGGAGCAACTGGGCCCGGGGCAACTGCCCCGTTTGCCCCGCGTTAAAGACGGCCCTGGTGTAGGGGTTCGTGATGGAAGAGTGCATTGTGGACAGGTTTAATGGTGGAGCAGTTCATAGTGGAGGGGTTCTGGGTTTGTGCTACATGGTGGAGGGGTTCATGGTGGGTGGGGCACATGGTGTAGGGGTTTGTGATGGAAGAGTGCATTGTGGACAGGTTTAATGGTGGAGCAGTTCATAGTGGAGGGGTTCTGGTTTTGTGCTACATGGTGGAGAAGTTCATGGTGGGTGGGGCTCATGGTGTAGGGGTTTGTGGTGGAGAAGTTCATTGTGGAGGAGATCATGGTGGAGGAGTTCATTGTGGAGGAGTTCATGGCGTAGCGGTTCGTGGTGTACGAGTTCATTGTGGACAGGTTTAATGGAGGAGCAGTTTATAGTGGAGGGTGTTGAGACCTGCAGTGGTTATGGTACTGCAGTCTTCTATTCCTTTCCCAATAGCTGAGCATAAGTGATTATAACTGCAGTTAGGAGGTAGAGGAATAGTGTAGATGAATGCAGCTTCCAAGATGATTCTCCCCAGCAAGTAGAATATTCCCCAAAAATGAGCCCAGACTTCATGAAGGGTGTAACAGGAATGAAGTTTATTGATGCCACACTGGCTTTTATGAGAAATCCTCCTGCAAGAGGACCTCCCACAGTAAACAAAGACAATAACCAATCAACATACAGATTTACAGTAACCCCCGCCCTCTCTCTGCTTGGGAGATATTAAGATAAGTTAAGGAATAACCCAATTATCTCCAGGCAGAGGGCACACAATTTTCCCAAAAATTAGAACACCCCTTTCCACACAAGGTATCCCCTGATAGCCCCGATCTGGGGGACCAACATATCCAAATTTCACCCAGATCGGTTCTTAAAAAGTATGGAAGTCACAACTTACTGACCACACATGAGGCTCCTGCCCAAAACAGTTCCACGAATTCAGCGTGTGCGGTCGGTCAATTCAGAAAAAGGCATAAAATGAATAAAAGTCCCGAATGGATCCTCCTGGCTCATAGGAGCGATTGCTCCCCTTGTTCCTATGAACCGAACTACCGAATGGCGTTCGGCTGTTCGGCAACTAAAGGAAGCAGGCGTTCGGTAGTTTCAGCGGTGGTTCGGGAGGTCGAGTGTCCGATTTTAGTTCCAGACACTCGACGACCAAGTCCCGCTGCCTCCTTTCGTGCAAACAAGATGGCCACCGTTTTCTGTTCCACGTGGCATTCGGCTATACGAACAGCGGCCACCCAGAGAGCACTTACTAGACAGTTCTTTTGAAGTTAATGAGCCAGGAGGGTGGTCGGGGTTCAGTAGTTTTAAACTACTAAACTAATAGATCCCAATTGAACAAAATATTGCAGAAAAAGCCCGAACATAGGAGTCTATTTCCTTCACAGAGGGGTTCTGGGTTTGTGCTACATGGTGGAGTGGTTCAAGGATGATTGGTTCACAGTGCAGAGTTTTGTAGTGGAGGGCTTTTGGCAGAGGATCTTACTATTGGAATTTCCAGCATTATCCAATGGTTACGGTGATGATGGGATATGTAACAGCTTTCAAGTTAGCAAAACACAAAACCTTTCAAACTTCTTCACACTTCAGGGGTGCAGGTTTCATCAACTAAATGCATCCTGTTCTTCAGGATTGCATATTTTTAATACAGCTACCTGGTTGTATGGATTTGTTTTGTGATTTATCTACTTCTAAAAACTGAAGATGGAATTTCAAGGACGTGGGATTTCAGGCTTCAGAGAACATTGAAGGACTTTATTTGTTTTTCAAGGAATTTTTTTGTAGAAGGAAAGGAGGCACACCAAGGAGGTAGAAGTTTAAATAAAGACTGGCCATTCTCACTCCCTTTAGATCATCCAGTGGGGCATTAGTTTGGTTTGAGGTAGCCATGGCCAACAACGCTCTCTCTCTGAACTGTTACTGGTTGAGGAATAGGTATGTTACTATATGACATTCTCAGGACAGGAAATGCCAATGTGTCCTTCTCAGGAAACCAGAACATCATCATAGTCACATTCTGTTTGATTTTGTTTCTGGCCCATCCCAATACATGTTACCTCTGCACTTCTTAACTGCCATACCGAACCTCCATTCCTGTGAACATGGAGCAAAGGACGGCAAGATTGATTGTCAACAAGCAATAATTTTCTTTATTAATCAATTTATTCTTAATATTTTGTGATTGCCTGAAGAGCCCTCCTGAGAGCGTTGTCCAATATATTTAATTTCAGTTAGATTACAGAATATTTTTTTCTTTAGTCAGTGGATAATGAATTCCTCAGGTTAATTTTCAGGAGAATACCTTTAAAGTGAGTGTTACGATTGCCCCTGGTCTAGCAGGAGGTTGGATCGCTTAGATGCCCTGGTTCCCGAAGTCAGAGAGGCGAACGGTGCTTCAATCGGTAGAAAATCTGTAAATGTAGAATATCCCACTAGCTATAATAAAGCTAGGATTCCCGGATCCCTACAACACGAGTCGAGGCTGCGAGTTCAGGGTAAGACGAACTGGCTTTAATGGCACACAAGCATGGCAATTTATGCAAGTCCCCAGGTCCAGGGACAGCCCCCTATGGACCTGATGGGATACAGGTACAGTACAAAGATTCAACCAATCATAATACATTGTATCATTCAAACTAGTACCCGCCCATCTTGGAGATAATGAGTCCAACGGTTATACAATCTAATTATCTCCAAGCGCCCAAAAGTCCATGCTTTATTATGTCCTAGAAAACAGCCTAAAAATACACAACTTCAACATTTTAATGGGAATATAGTTCATTTGACTAGTCATTCGGTAGCTCGGATCTGGACGCATCAGTTATACTAATTGCGCCCAGATCACACTAACAGAACAGGGAGTTTCTGCCATATAAAGTTCATTTGACTAGTCATTCGGTAGCTCGGATCTGGACGCATCAGGCATACTAATTGCGCCCAGATCCCACTAACAGAACAGGGAATTTCTGCCATATAAAGTCTCATTCGGTACTTCTGCTGCGAACCTTTGTTTTATTGTGTCCTAGAAAACAGCCTAAAAATGCACAACTTCAACATTTTAATGGGAATATAGTTCATTTGACTAGTCATTCGGTAGCTCGGATCTGGACGCATCAGGTATACTAATTGCGCCCAGATCCCACTAACAGAACAGGGAATTTCTGCCATATAAAGTCTCATTCGGTACTTCTGCCGCGAACCTCTGCTGGCGGCCATGTTTTAAGGCTGGTCAATGGACAGCGGGACCTCGACCTGAAACTCCTGGAGCAGGTGTGGGCTACATATTCACACGAATCCCCGCTCTCCGTATGGTTGTCCCGGCTGTTCGGGAGACGAACGGAGGCTGCCCAGAAGGGGGTACTTAACCTGCGGTTAACCGCAAGATCAATGTTCTAATTGAGGCCACACGCCAGAATGTAGGTGGTCCCCGTTCGTGAGTCTTTCGGTAGTTTCCCTTCGGATAAATGTACGCGAACGAGGATCCCCTGTGACCGTCAATTAGTTGGTGGTTAACCGCAGACCGCAGCTCCAGGGCGGTTAATGAGAGGCACACTCCGCTCGTAGGGTGGTCGGTTATTCGGTACCTTCCGAGGTGACTGGGATTAAGTGAAGCCAAGGGCTACGTGGTCCATCGTTCGTACATACAAATGGGTGTTTATAATGGTTCATGGAGTGAGTTCGTATGTATACCGTCTATATACCTAACACAGGATGGGTTTTAATGAACAGGGTTAGTTTGTAACAGTGTGCAAAGGGTTCTTGTAACAGTGAGTGATACTCCTTCTCCTTAGCGGCCTTTCCTGAAAACAAAAGCTGACTTTTAGTGGATGTGTCCATTACAATGAGCTATCGGTGCAGATGTTGAAATGGAAGGAGTAAGGCTCCTGTACACCTGTGTGATTCAAGTCATTGGAGTTTAGGGGTTCCACCTGAATTTTATTGAGCAGAACGTTATTCGGCTGAGTAAGGTGCAGACGGTAAACATCATCTACACAAATAAGACAGAGTATAACCATGATCTAATAAATGTTCCCACAAGTTACATATGAGTCCATGTCACCAACACCACCTGTACCGCACACCTAATGGTCAGTATTACAGAATAAATATACCAAACCACAGTGTTTTATGCCTAGGGCGGGCTGCAATAATAATTATTTGTCACTAGCTCTGTTAAGGGAACTCGTTTTTAGAAACAAGCAACATTTGTTGATATTAGCATAAAGTCAGAGGGCTATAAATTCACCTTCTCCATCTACGTAATGATGTCACAAGGATCGGGGCTGTGAATGAACCCCAATGTCTACATGTCGCAGGACGCAGCAGGACAACTTCATGAGGCCGCCCAACCAGAACAAGGCCTCCTCACACAAGTTTAATTCTCTAATTCAGAACAGCGGGGAACAGAAACGCTCCCAAGAAAAATAGATTATCTCTTCCCAATTAATGTAAATCTGAAGGTGACATTATGTCTGTTACAGTATACTGAGAAAATGCATCTTTTAGAAACAAGGTAGCTTGCCTCTCAAAGGACCTCCGACATGCACAGCTGTGCGGACAACAAGATGTGGTAAAAGTCCTCAAATGTAAAGCTCATTATTGTATAGAGGAAACATATAGATGCAAAGTTCTCCTTACCTACAGCTGGCTTCAATATCTGGAACATTTGTAAATGTATGCACTCTTTTTCCCTCAGTGCCGAGACGTGTTTCAAACCATATCAATAGGTGAAACACGCCACCTGTAGCCACCATATGTTATGTTTCTTGATGCCGAGTGATCGTTAACCTTAAGGATAACTGTAATGCGAATCGTCAGAGGGGTTAACACTCGGATTTGGCAGAGAGATTTCTGACATATGTAACATGTATACAGGTCTCGTGCTTCACGCCTCGTTGCGATGCCTGGTCTGGCCATGGGAAACATCTGCAGTGTTGAAGATACCTATGTAAATGTATCAACTCAAATCTTAGGATGAAATCCTCATCTGTCCGCCTGCTACTGATTTGGCTACCACCAGTGTTTAAATGAGATATTTTCTCATCTGCTAATTTTTACACAAAGAATTTCAACATGATTATTTATTCCTGATTGCTGAATTTTCACTCAGTAAATCAATTAGTACAGGAGACTGAGACAGCTGGTGAAGTTTAAGATGGTGGGCGCTGCCTCCCATCCTCATCCCCCAGACTTGTTGGGCTTTATCTACTTAACCCCATGTGATGGTGCCCTGTTCAAACCTTCAAACCAGCTGCATCTTCAATCATCAATAAAGGGAGAATAGAAACTGCACACATGGTTTTTATAACACGTACTTATCAGTAGTCCTTACAAAGCCAATAATTTATTTTATTTTGCAACAAAAACAGAGGGGGGAGGTTGGGGGGCCAGGGGTGCAGTGGGGCGGTGGGGCGGATCAGCCTCCATCTGACTGAAGATAAGGCTTACAGCCTTAGACAGCTATTGTTTCATCTGTTGAATCCGGTATTTTATAACTCGGAGATTAGTTTATAAATTTACTAACTTAATGTTTCAAATCTCAGTCTGAGATAAGTAGGGTCCAGCAAAGTCCCACCGATTCCCTGCGGTCCATTCTGTCAAAGAATGGTTATAATTAGAAAAACCCTGAAATTCTAAAACGGTTCCTTAACTATTGGGAATCCAGAAAGATAGACTCGGCTATCTGCTGCTCTGTTACAGGAAACACACCCAAAGCAGACGAATGTTACATCTCCATCTGCTCTGGCTGCAAGGAATCAGTTACGCCAGAGGGATTACTAATAATGTTCGTTGTCAGATGGGTTAACACTAAGTGGGATTTGGCAGAGAGAGTTCACCTAAAATGTATACAGTTGTAAGTCTGCTCTCTGGGAACGTCACACCTCAATTCGGTGCCCTAGTCTAGAAAACCTGCCTACAACCACTTCTTCGGAACAAAACCAGATCGAACAGGTGGGAATTAAAATAAACCTTCACATTGGGCTAGAAGAATATTCCAAAGAAATGTCTGGTATTATTCAAAAGATTACCATTACAAAAATGATGTTGGAAATAGAAGATAACAGTGGATCCAGATTAGAATTCTCTAGTTAATAAATGCCAGTAGAAATTGGAGAGTACTCCTTGGGGGCCTGATCTGACCTCCCTGAGATTCTGAAGGATCCCGAGGTACAGACACTTGGAGATAAAGTATTAGTCAGGGTGCCCATAGTGTGATCACATTGTGATGACGATAAAGCCGGACTGGTATAATTGAAATGCCTGTTGATTGGCTTGAATTTGCCCCCAGCATGCCATGCCTTGCCGACTGGCACATTACTCATGACAAATGTTATGTTATGCTACGTTAACTGTGACGTTACCCAGGTGAAGGTTTACGGTGACATTACTCAGGTGAAGGCTTACTGTCACCTTACTGAGGTGAAGGCTTACTGTGACGTTACCCAGGTGAAGGTTTACTGGGACGTTACCCAGGTGAAGGTTCACAGTGATGTTACCCAGGTGAATGATTACTGCGACCTTACTCAGGTGAAGGTTAACTGTCACCTTACCCAGGTGAAGGTTTACTGTGACGTTACCCAGGTGAAGGTTTACTGGGACCTTACCCAGGTGAAGGTTCACTGTGACGTTACCCAGGTGAAGGTTTACTGGGACGTTACCCAGGTGAAGGTTCACTGTGACGTTACCCAGGTGAAGGTTCACTGTGACGTTACCCAGGTGAAGGTCCACTGTGATGTCACCCAGGTGAAGGTTCACTGTGACGTTACCCAGATGAAGGTTTACGGTGAGGTTACCCAGGTGAAGGTTTACTGTGACGTTATCCAGGTGAAGGTTCACTGTGACGTTACGCAGGTGAAGGTTTACTGGGACGTTACCCAGGTGAAGGTTCACTGTGACGTTACCCAGGTGAAGGTTTACGGTGACTTACCCAGGTGAAGGTTTACGGTGACGTTACTCAGATGAAGGTTTACAGCGAGGTTACCCAGGTGAAGGTTTACTGTGACGTTATCCAGGTGAAGGTTCACTGTGACGTTACCCAGGTGAATGTACACTGTGACGTTACCCAGGTGAAGGTCCACTGTGATGTCACCCAGGTGAAGGTTCACTGTGACGTTACCCAGATGAAGGTTTACGGTGAGGTTACCCAGGTGAAGGTTTGCTGTGACGTTATCCAGGTGAAGGTTCACTGTGACGTTACGCAGGTGAAGGTTTACTGGGACGTTACCCAGGTGAAGGTTCACTGTGACGTTACCCAGGTGAAGCTTTACGGTGAGGTTACCCAGGTGAAGGTTTGCTGTGACGTTATCCAGGTGAAGGTTCACTGTGACGTTACGCAGGTGAATGTACACTGTGACGTTACCCAGGTGAAGGTCCACTGTGATGTCACCCAGGTGAAGGTTCACTGTGAATTTACCCAGGTGAATGTACACTGTGACGTCACCCAGTTTCCTAAAACGTGACAATACAGATGTAAAGGTCTGATTTACCAGCAGGTAAAAGTTTTAATCCCGTGTGTATAACTCAGTGGGAGTCACAACAAACAGAGCCCAACAGAAGGGGGAAACAGGGACCCCATTACCCAGACTTCGAGAATAAACAGGACAGTGATATGCTGACGCGGGACATATTATAGCTGGTTACCCACTTAATGTTAGACTAATTGGTATTACTATTAATAGGTTCAGTTCATATACTGAGCTGCAATAATGTAATAAGTTAATACAATAAACTGCTAAAAAAACACTGAGGTGTAATAATTCAATAACATGTAATAATATAACGAGCTGCAACAATGCAAATAGCTGTGATAATACAATGAGTTGTAATACTAAGATGAGATGTAATAATACACTGAGCTGTAAAAATACAATAAGCTGTAATAATACAATGAGCTGTTAAAATACAATGAGCTGTAATAATACAATAAGCTGTAATAGTACAATAAGCTGTAATAATACAATGAGCTGTAATAATGCAATGAGCTGTAAAAATACAATGAGCTGTAATATTACAATAAACTGTAGTAAAACAATAAGCTGTAATAATACAATAAGCTGTAATAAACCAATAAGATGTAATAATACTATAAGCTGTAATGATAATAAGCTGTAATAATACAATAAGCTGTAATAAACCAATAAGATGTAATAATACAATAAGCTGTAATCATAATAAGCTGTAATAATACAATGAGCTGTAATGGTACAATGAGCTGTAATAATACAATAAGCTGTAATAAAACAATAAGATGTAATAATACAATGAGCTGTAATAATACAATGAGCTGTAATAAACTGAGATCTAGAATGCTTCTTTAATCAATAGGATGCCAATATCTCCTTACTTGATTTTTAAACGGTTTCATTTGTTTTTGGCATTCTAGTAAAATCTCTTTTACAGCAACTCTGAACCTCTGTTCATCTGAGTCCTGCACCAATATTTGATTAAACAGTTAGGAAATTATATCTGTAAACTTTTTATTTAAAAAATTGTTACAAATTGCTGGACTGTTTTTAAAGGGTTAAATATTCCGAGAGTTTGACTTATTCTCATTTGAATACGGTAATATTTTATTTGTCAGTTCACTTTATTTGGTATTTACACTTACCGGCTACCACTCACTATTAATAACCTTGGCATGCACTTCCTACGACCCTCAGCCAGCCGTCCATCTACCCTGCCCCAGTGTGACCACACCTCCCGTGATATTTCATTGCGCTCACTGAGTGCACCCTCCATTTACATTATATTCAGTTTATGCAGAACCCTTTCAGTATTAAACACAGGGATATAGAACTTCATGATTTCTCCAATCCACTTCATTCAAAACAAACACAAATATTGAGAACATTTCAGGGCACGAGGAAACAAGAACCCGGTGTAGCCTTTATTGAGAAATCAGACAATTACAAGACATTCAACTAAAATGATTCCGATGCATTTAATAAGACTTCATATGACACTTGATTGCAGGCGGATTATGAGGCATAAGACAAAGGCACTGGTGTGATAATAGGTTATTAAGTAACTGAGATTTGATTACAATTTTATATGCAAATGCTGGAACTGCTGGCAAAATGGTCTGAATTATCCTTGTGGCTGGATATTGTTAACAGCCGCTACTCGATATGTAAATGTCTGTTTAAAAAAAAAAACAGTGTTTCAGCAAAACTTAGTAATTTGAAAAATAAACATAATTAATAAATAATGTGCTGCTTGTTCTATAAATTGAATATCTCTGACATAGAATACTTTCTTATTTTGCGCATTGCTTTTTTCCCCCCTTTTTTCCCCTACGTCCTTAGTAACCGCGTTTTTTTTCACTACACAAAGCGCTACAGAACATTACCCGCTCGCTGTGAATGGGGTCTTTGTTTTAGTCCTGTTTAGGTAGGAAGTGGTTGCTATTTAGATTCCTAAGAGGGAATATAAAATTATACTCACCTAATGAAACCGACCAGTAAATACAGCAGTTAATCTGACAACTTCAAATTCCTGAATTGCATTCGAAGAAAACAATTTAACACAAACAATAATTTAAACCCTGCATAAATCATAAGCCTTAGTAAGTAAGATGCTTTTTTTTCCTATAATCATGGCAAGCTCCCAGGGAGAAGTGACATTTTCAGAATGCAGACTCTTCAAGAGAAAAGGGAAAAGCCGCTACTAATTCAGCAAAATATGTGTCGCTCCGATTGTCAATAAAAACCCAGGAGGGGGGGACATTGGAGAAAACCCAGGACGGAGACAGACACATACAGAAAGGACTTCAGTGAAGCAAAGAGCAGAGATATTAACTGTGTTTTATCATAAGTGAGCCAGGTCCCCTGTCTTTATCGCTAGCATTTCATAACCGTGACATGAGACTGTGAGAGCACCTGCACATTGACCAACTGCGAGGGTATCTGACCAATGACCAACTGCGAGGGTATCTGACCAATGACCAACTGCGAGGGTATCTGACCAATGACCAAGTGTGAGGGTATCTGACCAATGACCACCTGCGAGGGTATCTGACCAATGACCAACTGCGAGGGTATCTGACCAATGACCACCTGCGAGGGAATCTGACCAATGACCAACTGCGAGGGTATCTGACTAATGACCAACTGCGAGGGTATCTGACCAATGACCAAGTGTGAGGGTATCTGACCAATGACCAAGTGTGAGGGTATCTGACCAATGACCAACTGTGAGGGTATCTGACCAATGACCAACCTCGAGAGTATCTGACTAATGACCAACTGCGAGGGTATCTGACCAATGACCAACTGCGAGGGTATCTGACCAATGACCAACTGTGAGGGTATCTGACCAATGACCAACTGTGAGGGTATCTGACCAATGACCAACTGCGAGGGTATCTGACCAATGACCAACTGTGAGGGTATCTGACCAATGACCAACCTCGAGAGTATCTGACTAATAACCAACTCTGAGGGTATCTGACCAATGACCAACTGCGAGGGAATCTGACCAATGACCAACCTCGAAAGTATCTGACTAATGACCAACTGCGAGGGTATCTGACCAATGACCAACTGCGAGGGTATCTGACCAATGACCAACTGCGAGGGTATCTGACCAATGACCAACTGTGAGGGTATCTGACCAATGGCCAACTGCGAGGGTATCTGACCAATGACCAACTGCGAGGGTATCTGACCAATGACCAACTGCAAAAGTATCTGACCAATGACTAACTGCGAGGGTATCTGACCAATGACCAACTGTGAGGGTATCTGACCAATGACCAACTGCGAGGGTATCTGACCAATGACCAACTGTGAGGGTATCTGACCAATGACCAACCTCGAGAGTATCTGACTAATGACCAACTCTGAGGGTATCTGAGCAATGACCAGCTGCGAGGGAATCTGACCAATGGCCAACCTCGAAAGTATCTGACTAATGACCAACTGTGAGGGTATCTGACCAATGACCAACCTCGAGAGTATCTGACTAATAACCAACTCTGAGGGTATCTGACCAATGACCAACTGCGAAGAATGGATGACTTAGAATTACCTAACCACTGACGGTGAGAGTAAGCGGCCTGGACCTGTGAGAGTACCTGACCAATGACTGTGAGAGTACCTGACGTGGAAGTCCCGAAATGGCGGCCGTGCATACAGTTCCCATAGCGTTCGTGCGGTTTTTCCACGAAAATGCCTATCAAGCAGGGAGGTAAATTACTCTCAATTTAGAGTCACGGTGGCCTGTTAGTACTTATCAAGCATTCGCATGGAGAATGCTTGTAAAGTCCCAACTGCATTTTAATCCACAAGTCTTTGCTGAAACTGTTCTTTTTGTTACAGGGAGGTATGGCTAGTAGTGTATGGCTGATAGTGGGGGTATGGCTGATAGTGGAGGGGTATGGCTGATAGTGAAGGTATAGCTGATAGCAGGGGCTAAGTTGGGGTTTTGGCTGATAGTGAGGGGAACTGCTGATAGTGAGGGGTATAGATGATAGTGAGGGGAACTGCTGATAGCGGGGGTATGGCTGATAGTGAGGGGTATGGCTGATAGTGGGGGTATGGCTAATAGGGGGGTATGGCTGATAATGGGGCGTATGGCTGATAGTGAAGGTGATAGTGGGGGTATAGCTAACAGCAGAGGCTATGACATATTGTTGGGGGGTATGGCTGATAATGTGCTGATAGTGTGCTGATAATATGGCTGATAGTGAGGGGTATGGCTAATAGTGGAGGGTATGGCTGATAGTGGGGGTATAGCATATTGTTGGGTGATAGTGAGGGATACTGCTAATAGTGGGCAGTATGGCTGATAGTGAGGGATATTGCTAATTGTGGGGGGTATTGCTTATAGTGGAAGGTATGGCTGATAGTGAGGAGTATGGCTAATTGTGGGGGGGTATGACTGATAGTGAGGAATATTGCTAATTGTGGGGGGGTTTGGTTGATAGTGAGAGTATGGCTGATAGTGAGGGGTATGACTAATAGTGGAAGGTATGCCTAATAGTGGGAGGTATGGCTGATAGTGATGAATATTGCTAATTGTGGGGGGGGGAGGTATGGCTGATAGTGAGGGAATGACTGATAGTGGGAGGTATGCTTAATAGTGGGAGGTATGGCTGATAGTGAGGAATATTGATAATTGTGGGGGGGGTATGGCTGATAGTGAGGGGTATGGCTGGTAGTGAGAGGTATTTTTAATTGTGTCGGGGGTATGGCTAATAGTGAGGGTATGGCTGATAGTGAGGGGTATTGCTAATTGTGATGGGGGTATGGCTGATAGTGAGGGGTATGGCTGATAGTGAGGGTTAGGGCTGATAGTGAGGGGTATTGCTAATTGTGAGGGGGTATGGCTGATAGTGAGGGGTATGACTGATAGTGAGGGATATGGCTGATAGTGAGGGGTATTGCTAATTGTGAGGGGGGTATGGCTGATAGTGAGGGAAATGGCTGATAGTGAGGGATATTGCTAATTGTGGGGGGATATGGCTGGTGGTGAGGGATACTACTAATGGGGGGGTAGGGCTGATAGTGAGGAATATTACTAATTGTGGGGGGGTATGGCTGGTAGTGAAGGGTATTGCAGGAGTATGACTTAATGTTGGGGGTGTATGGCTAATAGCAGGGGGTATGACTGATAGTGGGGATACGGCTGCTGGGGACTATTAGTGGGGCATATCCCAATAGCAATTCTCTATCTATCTGTTTTCTGCTTGTTCCAAAAAATACTATATTACAGTTTTGTCTGAGTTTTGGAATTGTCCATCGGGGATACTTTTGAGCGACAGACTATAGTGACAAGTAGAGTAGTGGATATAGCCAATAACATCCACAGGTTTAAAAAATGTTTTAGTAGCTATAGTTTTTTCGTGGATAAAAATATTCAGATCTAAAAAAGCAACATTAGTGTTGACGTAGTCCCACGTAACTACGATTCCCCTATTATTGTTCAAAAAAGAAAAAAGAAATAATCAGTTCTTGTTCATTCCCCCTCTAGATAAAAAAAATGGTCACCGATATATCTGCGATACAGCATGTGGTTTGAGTCCCAGTCATTCTGACCAAATATTTATGTTTCTTCCCACTAGGCTATAAAGAGATTGGCATAGCTGGGAGTGAATCTCGTGCCCATCGCAATACTCGACACCTGTTGGAAAAGAAATCTCCATCACACCTTCAAGAATGAAAAGTGCCGAAAATTGAGCGTGTAACAGAGACGTATTACGGCATCACAACAATAACAGCTGCTCAAAAACTCTCTTGGTGGGTGCCCAACTTCCCGAACCAAAATTACAGTACAAGATAAGTAGCACAAGTGAAACACTTACAACCACTAGCAGAGAACTTGCACACGTAGGGAATGTCTTACCCTCTTGCAGTGATGGTGAGAGATCAAAGCAGTAACATTTTAATGATGTAGACCATGATGGTAATAACCAATGTTTCTTTCAAATATTAATTATGGAACAGTTTTATAAAGAAAAATATAACAAATGGAAAGGGCAAATGACAAACAGGATAAGAAAACCTCGGGTCAAACACACAATCCACCCAACGTCAGTACATAAATACAATTAAGGGATCACATCGCTCTCTTGGTGTCTGCGAGGTTGATGCAATTGAGGATCACAAAATGGAATGTGGAAAGGCAGTTTTTCAGGACTCAGTATGTTAAAGCACAGATCGGCTCAGAGCTTTTTTAGTTGGTAGCCATCTTGGACACCATAACCACTGTTCCTGTTTCAGAAGACTCTCGCGGCTGAAACAAGTTTTCAGGTTTCTCTTTATAAAAATGGTTAAAAAAAAAAAACGTCATTTGCCCCCAAATCAGTGCTGAACTACAGTTACCAAAAACATATTGACAACGAATATAAAATGATTCATATTTATTGTGTGGTTTCAATTGTTTCCCATTGTTTTAGTGCTTTGGTTAGAAACATTCTCGTTTTATTTCAGAGAGTTCAAAGAAAAATCATATTTTGTAAAGTATCACAGGGGGTCACGCGTAAAAGGGGAGCCAACACTTCGTCAATTTTAGTTGATTTAATAGCTAACTACATTTTTTTTTCTACTTTATTTTAATTTACATGATTTATTGGGCAAAGTATGTCAATGAATTAACTCGTGCATTACTGCTGCCCACTTGTACGGCATCTCTGTGTTAGAGGTGCACACACCAGAGGTATCATGGGACGCTGACGTTCTCACAACACAGGTGTACAGCGGAGATACTGCTTACTAACCTTCCCTGTGTTATTCAGTCCCGCAGACACTGCAGCGAGGGGACAAGGAATTGTCACTTTTTGTGAAGTGGCAGTCTATTTTATTTAATAATGGTGTATCCTGCTTCCAGAGCATAATGCAGAGGTTCCCTAAAAACGTTTATATCTGCTCTGCTGCAGTTAGCAAGTGAAAGGCTTTAGCAGTGATCTGTAATGACGACTGTTACTGAAACATTGAGATTCAGACGTTGTCATAGAATCTAGATATTTCTCACAGAACGCGTACAATCACCTTGCCGCAGAAACCGCTATTTGAGACATCACGGTGTTTTAATATCTAGAGAACTAACATTATCTTCTCTCAAATATGATGCTGTAAACTGCATTTTTTTATTGATTGGTTTATTGATTGCAGGAGAAGTCTAAAGTGTACGGCCATATCTGTTGAAGACAGAAAAAAAAAATGATATTATTTAATGGTTTTGGCCACCATCAATATAAAAATCTGTTAAGGCGTGTCTTGTAAAATATACGCTTACACCACTGGGATGACTTATTTAAAGATCACCCAAAACAACCTATACAAAATAACACTAATTACCGTTAATTACAGCGACTCCGTTACGCACGCTTCCTTATATCTTACTCACTCACACCTTCTCTGAATTATTTTCTTTAACGCAAATTGCTTTAAAAATAAATCATTTTTTTAATGCCCTATTTTTCCAGCATATAAAAAAACAAACAAGTTAAAAACGCTTTGCCGAGTGTAGACAGCTGCATAGGATGTAGCAACTGTTAATGGAAAATAAACTCCACACGTTTTAGACAGAACACGCTGTGTGGAAATGTTTATTTTTTAGTGAGATGGGACATATTCTAACTGCAGGTTTTTGTCTGTCGGAAAGGTAATAAAGACTTTTGTTAACACAAAAATCACACTAACCTTACACAGTCGTAAATCTGCTGTCGTGTCGATGTGATGCATGCGAGCGCTTTGCGTGTTACCAAAAGAGATGCACGCATGTTTTGTCAAAGCAAAATACGGAGTTCCTTGGAGACACGTTGGGCTTTATTTACTAAACGGTGAATTGCAATGAATTTTTAAAAAATTCTAATTTCGGGCTAAAATGACCCATTTATAAATAAACTTCAAATCAGCACTTTTGCCAAAGTGCTGATTTAATAATTTTAAGAATTATTAAAAATCCATAGAAAAATCTGTACATTTTACCTTTTTATTTACGCTTTGTTCATAAAGAATCTGTGTTAAAGATTCATAGTAAATTATAGAAAAATAATGGATTTTAAGTTTTTTAATCTTTTAGAAATGAAAGAATTACTGAAAGAGCGAACATGCTATTGTGCAATTATTTTAACTAAATATTTTTTTTTTTATTTTTTTTTTAGCACTAACATTTTTCAGAGAACCAACTAAAGAGTAAATATAAAATATATTGTTACTGTTTTGGTTAGATTTTTGCTTTTATTCCCTTCCTTTACCTGAATGTAAATTTGATCTGAAAATGTAAAGATCGTGTTTTAGTTACAAGTTCTTTAGACACATATAACTCATTTTCCATGAAAGGCATTGACGTCCTATTATGTGATATTTTATGTTATACCTTTTAGAAATGTTTCCTTTTATTCTTGTCTCCTGGACATACCGGTACTTTGTTTTACGGAAGATATTTGTTTATTTATTTGTATATTTATTACGATAATGCAAACTTCCTAAATGAAATCCTTTATTTATACCATTATTATTAAATATTATTATTATAACAGAGCAGATTCGACCCCAATAATTAGAGCCATAATATATTTCTATATACAGTAAAAGGTTTCTTATCTAAAATAACCCATATTTAAGCATTGATCGATCTGACAGTCAGAATTCTGCGATACGGAATGAACGAAAAGTTAATACCAGTTTAGAAGAATGTAGGAACAATTTGTGAAAAGTATTAAATCGTAGTAGAGAATGATGCGTAAAACATAAAAGCGTTCTTTAAGAAGCACTCCGTCTAGCTCTGTTTATTCTAGCGAATGCTGTTTATTTAAGATCAGTATATTCCACAGACATTTACCTTAAAATAAACGCACAGTCTATGAAAATTGATGGAGTAAGTAGTGTCACTTACACTGAGAGAAACGTGTACAGTTCACATTGTGTCAGACTCGGAACGCGCTTTCCGTTTTAAATCTGAACCAAAATACAATCCTATTAATAACAGTGTGGGGAAATGAAGGGCTGTCAAACTGCAGGAATTAGCGAATTGTCAATCAGCAGATCCTAGTGAGGCTTCAAATATAGCCATGTGAGTATTTAGATCTGGCATTATCTTGTCTCTACTAATTTATTGCAGCCTTTTCTGGGAGCTCCATGTAAAGCCGCAGATAATATTTGGCAATTTGCATGCACAATATTAGCCGTTTTGCCCTGAATATGTCACCACCTGTCTCCAAATATCAAAGGACTGATTTCCAAATTTTGTAGTTTGTTTCTGCTCCCCAGCAAGCAGCGATAATACGCTTCTTGTTTTCTGATCCCCTGGATATAGTTTAATGAGAAGCACGTTACAGATTCCCAATAAGAATGAGGGAAAATCATTAAAAGTGACAGCTTCATATTAGTCACTTTACCCAAACCTTTCACCCCATGAAGTATCCTTTTATGAGGCAAAAATTCCTCTGACCCCTTTTCTTCCACAGTAATATATCTCACAGTAATATAGATCTCACAGTAATATACAGTTTGTATAAGTGTATCAAAGAGCTCCACAGCTATAAAACTCTCAGTAAGAAGAATAGTGTATCACAGAGCTCTAACAGTAAAACTCACAGCAATGTGCACTGTGTATTTTTGTATCACAGAGCTCCACAGCTTTAAAACTCCCAGTAATAAGAATGGTGTATCACAGAGCTCTAACAGTAAAACTCACAGCAATGTGCACTGTGTATTTTTGTATTACAGAGCTCCATGGCTATAAAACTCCCAGTAATAAGAATTGTGTATCACAGAGCTCTAACAGTAAAACTCACTGTAATGTGCACTGTGTATTTTTGTATTACAGAGCTCCATGGCTATAAAACTCCCAGTAATAAGAATTGTGTATCACAGAGCTCTAAGAGTAAAACTCACAGCAATGTGCAGTGTGTATTTTTGAATCACAGAGCTCCACAGCTATAAAACTCCCAGTAATGTGTGCTTAAATTGCAGTAAGTTCTTAAAAATATATTTTGTCTTAA